CCCGGCCTCGGAGGCCCCGCCCCGCTCCGGAGAGGAGAAGCCGAGCGAGCGCGCCGGGCTCAGCCAGAGCTCGGCTCCGGGCTCATGCCCTGCGGCCCAGCCTGCCCGCGACATGGCCTCCGGGAGCGTGGCCGAGTGCCTGCAGCAGGAGACCACCTGCCCCGTGTGTCTTCAGTACTTCGCGGAGCCCATGATGCTCGACTGTGGCCACAACATCTGTTGCGCCTGCCTGGCCCGCTGCTGGGGTGCGGCGGAGACGAATGTGTCGTGCCCGCAGTGCCGGGAGACCTTCCCGCAGCGCCACATGCGGCCCAACCGGCACCTGGCCAACGTGACCCAGCTGGTGAAGCAGCTGCGCACCGAGCGGCCGTCGGGGCCCGGCGGCGAGATGGGCGTGTGCGAGAAGCACCGCGAGCCGCTGAAGCTGTACTGCGAGCAGGACCAGATGCCCATCTGCGTGGTGTGCGACCGCTCGCGGGAGCACCGTGGCCACAGCGTGCTGCCGCTCGAGGAGGCGGTGGAGGGCTTTAAGGTAGGGCCGGGCCGGCGGACAAAGGGGCGAGCCGGGGGCTTCCCGGGGCCTGCCCGCCGAGAAAATGGCGAGCCGGACGTGGGGCCCGGCGCCGTCATTTCCTCCCTGTCGGCTGCGGAACCTCCGCACTCAGACTCGGAAGGAGAACCTGTAGCTGGCGGGGCCAGAAGCGTCCCCACCCCCAGGCTTTTCCCCCCAGCGCCCCTCTGTTAACTGCCTCAACGCGTGCGGGGCAGGGACGGCGCGAGGAGACCCTCCCTTTTGACAAAGGAGTTGCACATCAAGCCGCTTCCACTTTGATAGGCTTTGGAGACCTCTAACTCCATCTGGCCCGGGATAGCAAACCAAACAGTCGCTGCTGGCCGGTGAATTCACGCAATTCAAGCATTGCCTATCACTTAATCTATGTCCCCAGCTCTTCCCTGTAACCTGGTTTAGACACTAATGGGAATGAACAGCTCTTTCCTGCTTGAGTAAATCATTTCGCCACTCTGAGACTCGAGAGAGAACAGTTATTATGAAGAGTAAGTGAACTCACAAGCCCTGAAGAGGCCTTTGTGGACTGTTGAATAAACACTGGCGTGGCTACACAGCAGTGCAAAAACGTTGCTTATAAAGGAGGTCTAAAGTGGCAAAATAAGGAGTCCTTATTTTGAGGACTGCAGGAATACAGACACCCCGAATTATATTTGTTTAAATGCAAGCTCATCCAAATGTCAGTTCTGTTTACATAGCTGACACCTGTATCCGTTCACTCACCGGTGAGGGGTTTTAGCATGGGAAAGTGATGTTTACCGACTCTGTGCCTGAGGAAAATAAGTCATTGTCTCTGTGTTCCTCCGAGGAGCTTTCTGTGTTCCTTAGCTTTGGAGCCTCCTTACCCAGATGCCTCATAACTTAGGCAGAACTGGTAGGTGGCTCAGAGTTCAAATAACAAACCGCTCCAGCAGAGCTGTGCCGACCCCTACGCTTGGGCTCTTGCCAGGAGTGTGGCATTGTGGTCTGAGGACAGTCCGTCTGGGCCTTGACACCTGTAGTTTGGGTTCCTGTGTGATAAGCAGAGTAACTACTCTGATGCTGAGATCTGCATAGTCTTGAACTGACCAACTGTTTGCTTTCTTCAGGAACAAATCCAGAATCGGCTGGACCATCTAAGAAGAGTGAAAGATTTGAAGAAGAGACGGCGGGCGCAGGGGGAGCAGGCGAGAGCTGAGCTCTTGGTAAGGGTCCCGTTCTCCAGCCTGCAGAGCTTTGCATCTGGATAGCAAACTTCTGAACTACTCTCTCTGATAGTCCTTGAGAAAACTTAAGTGTTGGTCAGGGTACAGTGAAAAACTTCAGAGATATCAGCTCTGGGAGCTTTGTCCAGAGAGAGGCAGCCTCTAGGAATCCAGAATTTTGGGTTTGCCTCTTGGCTCTGGCACTTGCCGGTTTAGATGGAGAGGTGGTGCAGCCTCTCTGGGCCTTAATTTCTTGTCTGAGATAGGGAGGTCGGGTGAAAGCTGTGCTTGTCCAGCATGCCAGTGGTGCCCTTTCTGCCCTTGAAATGGTAAATGGTTTGTTTTGAGCCAAGTCAAAGACCAAGTGGGACAAGGTTGGCAAGTGTTTTACAGCAAGAAACAGACCTGTGCCAGAAAAATTGTTCCTGCCAGGGTGGGAGTCACACCCCTTTTGGAAAACACTGATCTTTAAGGTTTCTTTTAGCTTTAATTTTGTACATCTAAGATTGTGTTGTATGCTTTATGCCTTTGGAAGACTTACCCAACTGAGAAGAGGTATGAGCTTAGGAAAAGGGTCTATAAGCCAAGATGTGTGTCTGCATGCGCACACAAGTGTGCTACAAAGATGCCTAGTAAGTGCTAAGAAAGTTGGTTTAGTTAGAGGTGTGATGGGGTGGGGGTGGGGGTTCTTGGGACAGCTGAGTTCAGGTCAAAAAAGGGCCAGTAGTATTTTCAGCTTTGTGGGTTTACACAAGACAAATCACACCTAAACAGCTCATTACTGTATCTCAAAACCAGCCATGTCTAATATATAAATGAGTGGGTGTGGCTGGATTCAAGGTAAATGTTTCTTGAGTGTTCTAGAGTCATTTGCTGACCATTTGTTATTTATTTAGAAATAATTGAACTGTGTAGTCCAGGGATGTCTTAAACTCTGAATATTCTTTGCTTGGTTTCCCTGGGTGCTGGGATTACTGGTATGCACTGCCATACTTATAATCCCTTAGGTCGAACTCTTGCTTTTTTGAGATGAGGCCTTCCATAACCCAAGTTGATCTTGAATTCATTAGTTAAAGTCCCAATCTTCCCATCTCTGCCTTCCAAGTGCTAAGAATCCAGGAATGCACTGGCACACCTGCCTCTACAGCTTCTTGGCAGTCGAGGAATTGGGTAGAGAAGAAAAGATAGGCAAACCGTAATAGACACATTGTGTAGGACTGCTTCAATGCCAAACCCATAAGCACTCCCCAAAAATCATAAAGGATCACATGAAGGGACCAAGTAAGCAAGTCTAGGAAAGTGAGTGATTATTCCGGATTACCTCCACAGGGTAAACACCTAACCCTGCCACTTCTGTATGGCTGTGTTTCGTGACTGCCAGGCAGGGTATGATCTGATCTTGTCCTTCGGTGTTCATGGGCTCTAGGCATATGGAACCAACCGTGTCTTCTCTCCCCTCTTTAAATGCCTGTGCCATTGGCTCAGCCTAAAAAGCCTATCTAACTCATGCTTACATGGCATTCTACAAGATCCTGTGTGAACATGGATTTGGGGGAGACTGTTGAGCTTCTCCCATTGTCTTTGCCCATCGTGACGGTGTCTCGTGAACCTGACTATCACTTGACTGAGTCCCTTATGGTCAGGGACTATTTCTTAATTACCATTGGAGTAATTCAGTTCATGGTCATTGTGTGTCTGGTGTATAAAGACTGGAGAGAGGGAGGGAGAGAGAAGCTGTTATAGTATGAAATGAGGTCTCGGGGTTAAGTCACTGGGAAACTTTACAAGAGTTCTAGAAGTGAGCCTTTCCTATTCACTACCTTTGCATGCCATGTACAGAGCCTGACCCAGATGGAGAGGGAAAAAATCGTCTGGGAGTTTGAACAGCTGTATCACTCCTTGAAGGAACACGAGTATCGCCTGTTAGCTCGCCTCGAGGAGCTCGACCTAGCCATCTACAACAGCATCAATGGTGCCATCACTCAGTTCTCCTGCAACATCTCTCACCTCAGTGGCCTGATTGCCCAACTGGAAGAGAAGCAGCAGCAACCCACCAGGGAACTCTTACAGGTAAGCAGGACAGCCCTGCAGGACAGGGCAGCTTTACCCTTGCCAGGTAGTGTTCATGATGCCCTTTGTCCTTTGTAACTGCTTAAGTGTTGGCACTTAAGGAAAACTGTATACTAGAAGTTGTTTTTTTGTTGTTGTTTATTTCTGTTTTGTTTTTTTGAGACAGGGATTCTCTGTAGCTTTGGAGCCTGTCCTAGAACTAGCTCTTGTAGACCAGGCTGGCCTCGAACTCACAGAGATCTGCCTGCCTACCTCTGTTTCCTGAGTGCTGGGACTAAAGGTGTGTGCCACCATGGCCCAGCTAGAAGTTGTGACTGACACAACTCAGTCAGTTCTGCAGTTGCAGTGTATCATGGAGAGGGCAAGAGAAAAACCTAGTCTTTGGGCCCCTCCTGCATTATCTGATCGTGGGCCCCTCCCTTGGCAATGGTAGGACTTCATTGGTGGATCTCATATGCTCAGGATCGATTATAATAAGACATTTCAACCACATATCTCTCAAGGCCCTTTCATTATCCTGAAATTTTAAAATATATGTGTATATTACCACAGCCAGAGGACATGGGGTAGAGAACAGGTGCAGTTCGCCTGAACATTGCTGTAGTTGCCTGTGCTAGAGTAGCTGCGAAGAGCCAGTGTACTCCCGGGGCAAGCTCACAGCAGGTGATCTGCTGCCTGCCCTGTCTTATCGGCCATTGATACAAGCACTGTGGTGGGCACTGGAATTAAGTGGTGGGTACATACACTTTCCTTAATTATGTTTTAGTTTGAAGTTCAGACAGTAACTTGTTATGTGTAAATGGTTATCACATGTTAATAAATGCCTGAAGAAGGATGGTTAAAAGAAATCCCACACTAGCTCAGAATTGAGAAGTACACATTTATTTAGGGGTAGACTCACAAATCAAAATCCTCACTGAAACGGAGATCAGAAACTGAATCCCGCAGCTGGAAAAGAGAGGCTGGACCCATGCTCTACATCGGCATATATAGTACAAGAGGCCACGTCTCAGTGGGCTGGTAACCACTGGCTGTAAGACTTCCTACAGCAAATGCCTTTTAAAGCAGGTCATAGGATAGTACAATAGTGAACAAATTATGACCTGCCTTTTGTTTCTGCTGGTGCTTGGAACTAAGTAGGTTTTTATATTTTAAGATGTTTGGGAAAGGTGAGAATGTTTTTCACTGTAGGTGAAACTGTATGAAATTGAGGTTCAATGTATATCAGTTCCATAGCCATGCTTGTTCGTACACATAAAATTCATCCCTGCTTTCCAGTACATCAGTAGGACTGAGTCTTGTGTAGGTACTGAAACCTAAACTGTTTACCATCTAATCTTCAGGGAAATGTTTCCTAATCTGTTTTAGCACAGGAAGGGCAGACAGCTTAAGCCTTGATGCAGGTCACCGTTTCATTGCTAGAGAGAGAAGGGAGAGTTTGAAAAGGGCGCTGTTGACCTGTGAGGCAGAATGACTAGGATGGTGGGAGTAGATGACAGTCTTGATGTAGTTGATGCCCAACAATAGCAGAGCTCTTGAAATGACTGCTGATTTCATGTAGAATTGTCACAGAAATAATTTTGAGCAGGAACCGTGTCAGAGTTGAAAAGTGACCAGGTTGGGTGAATAGAAACTGTCAGTAGAGACTGTTTGAAGGATGATGGTGGAGAAGATTCCTAGAGACAAGGAGACTTCTGTGCTTTTATCTGGAGGGACTGCTTAAAGAAACTAAACATTTTAAAAGTGGGGAGAGGGTGTCTATGGTAAAGATCAGGTGGACACTGTCCAAAATGATGGGACATCAGAAGTCTATGCTGCTACAGGGGTGGGGGTAGAGTAGCTCATTAGCTCGCAGAAGGTCCTCGGTTGTTTGGGGAAAAGCTTGCAATGTATGGGCAAGTCTCTGCTCCTTGGGGCACGGTAGGATTGTTAGCTTAGTGACAAATTGATGATGGCGGATGATAGGTAGATATGAACATGTGGTGGTGGGGGTATGTGTGTGCTGTGATACCCATGTGGCGGTCAGAGGACAAATAACGTGGGTTCAGTCCTCTCCTTCCACCTTTATGTGGGCTCTAGCGATTGAACTCAGGTCATCAGGCTTGCAAGGTAGGTGCTCTTACCCACAGGGCCCCAGTGACAATTTATTTATTGGACTATTCTGCTCTTTGTGGGTGATGTTGGCTGCCTTACTTTCTTGGGTCTTCACTGCTCTCATGTAAGCACTGAGAAACAATTGGGCCTGTTTGGACAGGATTTTTTTTTTCCGCATGGAAAACATAAATCTCACCATTTCAAAATGTCATTTTTGTAGCACAAATATAGCATTTTAAAATAGTGAATTCAATTTTCAGCTTACTGTTTAGATCAGAGCACTTTTATTACCTCCCAAAAGAAACCTTACTCCATTAAGCAGTCCCTGTCATTCCTTTCTACCTCTAGTCCCTCTATCTGGACTTTTACATTTTGGGTGTTCAGTAAAATCGTACAGTATGTGGACTTTTTAATTCTGGCTTCTTTTACTCAGCATAATTTTTTCAATATTAATCCTCACTGTAGAATGAATTAATATTTTATTTCTTTTTATAGCTTAATGATATTCCATTGGGAGTATAATCTACTCTTTAGAGATTCACCTACCTCTGCTTCCCGAGTGCTGGTATTAAAGACATGTGTGCCTGGCATATATATGTGTGTGTGTGTGTGTGTGTGTGTGTGTGTGTGTGTGTGTGTGTGTTCATTAGTGTTTTGCCTGCTTGTATGTCTGTTTGAGGGTGTCAGATCTTCTGGAACTGGAGTTACAGACAGATGTGTACTGGGAATTGAACCTGGGTGTTCTGGAAGAATAGCCAGTGCTCTTAACCATTGAGCTATCTCTCTAGCCCCTTATCCTATTCTTTCTTTAGGCAAGGTTTCACAGTGTATCCCTGACTGACCTTGAACTTACAGAGATATGAAATTATACGTGTGCACCCACATCCAGCATGTTTTGGGGAATCATAATGGCCTTTTGTTTTAGTTTGTTTGAGACAAAGTTTTGCTGTGTTGCTTAAGCTGGCCTCAAACTCAAATGTTCCTGCTTTGACCTCCAAAATGCTATGATTTCTTGGTGAGATGGCTCAGAGGGTAAGGGCATTTGTTTCCAAACCTGAGGACCAGGATTCTATCCCTGGTACCCACATGCTAGAAGGAAGGAACCAACTCTTGCATGTCGTTCTCTGATCTATACACTTGGGCTGTGTTAGGCATGCATTCCTACCCACCTCCAACAAGTAAACAAAAAATAGTTAAGAAAAAAGGGTGCATCCTACCAAAATGCTATGATTTCATTCCAACATGGCTTCATTCAGCATATGAAAATATTTTTTACTATATGGATCATGAAATTGAAGATGAATAATGGGAGTGTGCAAAGGATGTGTGTTCCTGGATCCAGTAAGGAAAAAAAGTCTGACAGCTATCCAGAACTGTCTAGAGTTTAAGCCTTTTGAATAGCAAACGTCCAGAGGTCGGGGGACAAAAGGCAGAATGTCCACTCTTTGCTTCTGCTCATTGTTTGGTTTTGTGAGATGGGTCTTATATAACCCAGGTTGACCTTGCACTTACCTTCTACCTCGTTTCCCAAGTGCTACAGTTGCATACTGTTTAAAATTTTATTGGAAGTTTTAACCAGTTGAATTAGACAAGGGACCACATGGTCATAATAAGAATTGGGGATGGGGGACTGGTGTAGTGGTTCATACCTGTCTTCCCAACACTGAGTCAGAAGAAGAGCTATGAGTTCAAGGCTGAGCTAGGCTACAGAGTGACTCTGACATTTGGGAAGTAGAAGGAGGAGGATCAGGAATTTGAACCTTCTTGGGCCACATGAGACCCTATCTGAGAGAGAAAAAAAAGGTGAAGAAATATTCTATAGGTAAATGGGCAGAAGTTACAGAGACAGGCTGCAGAAGCATAAAATTGGCCCATGGATGTAAGCCAGCATACCAGCACCATTACAGGAGTAATGCCAATTAAAACTACACTAAGGTGTCTTTTATCAGTTAGAATAGCGAGTGTTTGGGATGTTGTTAGACCTGGTGAGGATTCGAAGTTGTCAGACCCAAGTATTAAAATATACAGCAAGATAGTTTACCTCAACATTGTGTGTAAGTCCTGGAAATAGTCTAAGTTCCAAACTTAAAACATTGATGGATTTAGTCAGCTAAACACATCCCCAGCAGAATACCAAGCAACTTTTAAAAAGAAGAAAGGTAACTGAGCAACCTTAAGTAGTAGTGCATACCTAGGCAAAGGTAGGAGAATCAATGCCATATTGAGGCCAGCCTGGTCGGTATGAACAGTTTCAGGTCAGCCAGGGCTGGCTACATAGTCAGGTCCTGTTTCAAGAGGGGTTGAGGACAGGGATGATACCTGGAAACTGATAATGGGTGAGGAAATCAGAATGTAAAGTAAGTATGGGGCTGGGGAGACAGCACGGTGGTGGTTAAGAGTGTTTCCTGCTTTTCTAGGAGACCTGAGTTCAGTTCCTAGCACTGACATCAGGTGACTCACAGCTGCCTATAACTCTAGCTTCAAGGGATCCAGTTAGTTCTTCTAGGTTCTTTGTGCAGATAGTGTGCAGACACACACATTACACACTTTTTTTTTTTTTTTTTTCCGAGACAGGGTTTCTCTGTGGCTTTGGAGCCTGTCCTGGAGCTAGCTCTTGTACACCAGGCTGGCCTTGAACTCACAGAGATCCACCTGCCTCTGCCTCCTGAGTGCTGGGATTAAAGGCATGTGCCATCACTGCAGGCTCACACACAAATCTTAAAGTGATGATAGTAGAGTGCCATACGTTGTGGATAAGAACGAGAGATTGGAGATTACATGTATGAGCTAGTTTCACAAAGAAAACAAAATCATGGAGAATGAAGAAATAAGATAGGGGTCGGGGGAGTGACAAGGACTTGAGAATAAATTGTTAGATCTTTGTTTTTGAACCAAAATAAATAAAAGCAGCAATGGGTTACAGCCTTTTGAATAAAATAATAATCTTTAATTTTTATTCTTGGGAGGCAGAGGTAGGTGGATCTCCAAGTTTGAGATCAGTCACGGTTATATAATGAGATGCTGTCTTAAAAAGGGGGTGGGATGGAACTGAAGAGATGTCCTGGCTGATCTTTCTGAGGACTCAGATTTGATTCCCAGCTCCCACATGGCAGCTCATAGCCAGCTATAAATCTAAGATTACGTGCCCTCATGGTCTCTCTCTGTAGGCATCAGACACACATGTGGTACACAGACGTACACGTAGGCAAAACTAGCCTTATCAAGAAAGAGCAAAATTTTTAAAAAGTAGAAAAATCCATACTATTGAGGGATTCTTCAAGCTCTGTGTTTAAGTCATATGGAAGGGATTGTAAAGTTAGAAATAACTTTTTGCAGTTATCAAGTCAAAAACTTAGACAAGAATTATTGGGAGGTGTGACTTATTATGCAAGGCCTTGAGTTTAATTCCTAGCTTTGGGGTTTCTTTTAAAAACAAAAACAAACTTGTCAGCGGATGTTAAACCTTACGGATAATGTTTGATAAGAACTGAAAGTATCACAAATACATTACTTACTAGTGGGAAGATAGTAAGTGGTCACAGTCTGTATCACATATGCTCTACTTGAGAATCCGTGTCACAGTAACCAGTGCATAACCTGTATAACCTAGGGTAGGGCTGAGTGTTGTTATGGACTGTGATTGAGATTAATGTTTAATGATTAAGATTTCCAAACTTTATTTATTTGAGTTTTGTAGGCAGAATTTTTCTGTGAAACCCTGACTTTCTTGGAACTCACTATATAGACCTTGCTGTCCCCAAACTCTGCCTGCCTCTATCTCCCAAGTACTGGGATTGAAGTTGTGCACCACCATTGCCCAGCTTCCCAAACTTTGTGACAGCTGAAGTTGGGCAGGAAGATACAGTTCTCGAAAAGATAGATGGTAAACAACAGCTTCACAAAGTACTGAAGATGCTTATGTCATTATATGCACTGTGTCTAAGAGATACAGAAAAGGAATAAAGGGTAGTAGACATGGAAAGAAACAGGATTTCATCATGTGCATGGTATTCTGTTTATTTGTAGTTATTTCACAATTTTTTAAAAGTTAACTGCACATTTAGACAGCCAAGGCCCAAGAGTAAGATGCCTGAGTTAGTGAATCTTTGCTTCTTCCACTTCCTGATTTCTAGGTCTTTGAGGTTGAATTAAATCCCAGTTAACCTTGTCTATAGTGTCTCTGAGAAAGCGGGCCCATAGCTGGTTTCCAGTGAACATCTGGAAGAAAACTCAAGTAGTGCAGTGTCTCATGATATTTTTTTTCTTTTCTCTTGCAGGACATTGGAGACACACTGAGCAGGTACACTTTTCTGTCCTTATGTTGTAAACCAAGACTGTGGGCTCACATCTATAAATCCGAATTGGAGACTAGCGCCTTAGAAGTAGATGGCTTATTGAGTTGCTATCTCTCACTGAACAGTCTTATTGCCCAGAGAACTTTAGAACTTGGACGAGTTTGATGGCACACACCTTTAATCACAACTTTCAAAGCAGAGGCAGGGAGATCTTTGTGAGTGTGACTTCCAGGACAACCAGAGCTACATAGTGAGACCCCGTCTATAAAACAAAACAAAACAAAACAAAACACTTTGGAACTTTTGACAAATTGGTGTTGAAGTGAGAGAGTGTACTTGAGAGATATTGTGGTTTAAGTGTGAGGATACTTTCAGACCTTGAAAAGAGCACATTGATGACTCTTGGTTCTGCAAATTTCAAAGTTGTTTTCATTTCCTTATCTCATTCTTTATAAAGGGAAATAAGGCCTTAAGGAAGGTGTGACCGGCTTGGAGTTATTTAATCACTGATCGGCCACGTGGATTCTGGCTCTGGTTGTTTGTCTCCTGTGCTGTCAAGCGAACAGTGAGTGTAGCTCAGTGCTGTGACGTGTGTTTGCCATAAACAAGCCTGCGGTTTGATTGCTGCACTAGAAGGGAAGGGGAGAGAGGAGGGAAAGACCAGACCAAAAGAAAGGGAGAATTTGGAGCAGGCAAGAAGACAGGACAGGGCCAGATGGTGGTAGTACATGCCTTTAATCACAGCACTTGGAATGCAGAGGCAGATGGATCTCTGTGAGTTTGAGGCCAGCCTGATCTACAGAGCTAGTTCTGGGACGGGCTCCAGAGCTACACAAAGAAACCCTGTCTCCAAACAAAAGAAAGACGAGACAGTAATAACTGCAGGTCGGGTGTTTAGGCTTTGGAATGATGGCATTTACTATGGGAAATCTACAGGATGAGACTGACTTTGGCAAAACTGAATTGTGATTAAAATCCTTCAAAGGAAAATACAATTTGATGGGCTGGCTAGGAGATGTGTGTAGATAACTGGTCCTCAGGGCTACTGAGATGGAGAGGAATTGGAAGTTGTAACATTCCCAGTTGGGTGGTCAGTTAAGTAAAGCTGTGTCTGCCAGATTTGGGTTTGGTTTGGTTTTGAGATAAGTTCTTCTTTAATGGGCTGATCGTGAACTCTGATCCTCCTGCTTCAGTTTCTTACACTGAAATTATAGGCAGTAATTGAGCTGTAATGCCCAGTTTTGTGTTTTCTTTGTATGGAGGTTTTGTGGGGCTTGTTTTGTTTTTTTTTCCCTATTCTGCAGTACCAGATACTGAACCCCGGGCCTTTGGCACTCCAGAGTGCAGTTTATGTCTAATCCCTATGCCCTACTCTAGTTTCTGGTTTTTGATGCAGGGCTGGGATGGTAAGCCATCAACCTTGCATGAGAATCACTATTTTAAAACCTTAGAAATCTGTAAAGATTAGTTTTGGGGACCACAGAAATATAGTTCAGCAATTAAGAGCTCTTGCTAACTCTTGAAGAGACTGGTTTGTTTTTCAGCACCCAACTATAAGTTGCCTGTTATTCCAGATCCAAAAAAATACCTTTTCTAGCATCCCCAGGCATTTGAATATGTGACATGCACACAGACACACATGCACATAAATAAAATAACTTTTTTTTTTTTCAATTTGGTTTTTCGAGGTAGGGTTTCTCTGTGTAGACCTGGCTGTTCTGGAACTCACTCTTTTGACCAGGCTGGCCTCGAACTTAGATCCACTTGCCTCTGCCTCCCTAGTGCTGGGGTTAAAGGTGTTAGAAGTTTTAAGACGAGATCTCACTTTGTAGCACTGAAGCAAGCAGTGATCGTCATGTTCCTGCCTCCCGAGGACTGGAATTGCAGGGAGGAGCGGTGCCCCACTGAGGACTTACTGTTCACAAACCGTGAGCTAGTGCTTTGGGAGAGGTGAAAATGAGCAAGATCATCTCTCACTTTCACTCCTAAAGGTGATTTAGAAGGAAGTTGTGGAAACTTGTGGTAGCCGGTTTTAAAGACTGCCTGCCCACTATTGTTAGACAGTTTAGTCAGTCCCTAGCCTGGGCCTCAGAAAGTTGGAGAAGGGAATCACATGCGGTTTCTTGTTTTATTTTAGGGCTGAAAGAATCAGGATCCCTGAGCCCTGGATCACACCTCCAGATCTTCAAGAGAAAATCCATATTTTTGCCCAAAAATGTCTGTTCTTGACAGAAAGTCTGAAGCAGTTCACAGGTAATATGAGGAGAGGAAGTGGGTTATTATTCTGATGTCCGTATGTTGTTATCATCTATCTGAGGATGCATTTTCCAGTCAGACAGAGTAATACAAACTCAATCTCTTCTCTTTTATCCTTAGAAAAAATGCAGTCAGATATGGAGAAAATCCAAGGTAAATCTGCCTATTTTCTGGGCTCTTGATGTTGTAAGTTTCTTGGGGAGAAGCTGGGTGTGTTGAGAGCTCAGGGAGGATGAGCAGAACGGCTCAGTAAGTGCAGTGCCTTGTTGTGCAGACCTGTTGACCTGAGTTTGAGACATGGTGTAAGGAGAGAGCCGACTCCACCTGTGCAGTATGATATGTGACCCTTCACACACGCACATACATCATGCCCAGACTTTCCTATTTACATTATTATTGTTGTTTTAGTTTGGGTTTTGTTGAGATAGTCTTAATATATAGTCCAGTCTAGCCTTACTCACCAACCTGCTGCCTCAGACCTTCAGTTCTGAGATTAAAAATGTGCCACAGCTGCCCTGCACAACGACATTTAGTTCAGAAGTGGCTTTTCTCAGTCTGATTCTTGTTTATTTCTCTTCCTCTTCCTTTGCCACTTCAAAGACTCTTGTGTGAAATCCTTGGCCAACTAGAAATCCCACATAAATTAATGATGGCAGTGGGTGTCATTTGAGCCACTCAGTCTCTACAGCAGATGGTTTGTACAAATTAAGAGTTGTAAATATGTATGTCATGCATTTGAACTTTTAACCTTTGCAGAGTCAGGTCGCTCTATGGAAGGTGGAATTCTTGATTGTGACTCAGTCTGATACTATGTTCTACCAAGCTCACACATATTATTTGTATAGCCAGGGTTTTCAAGCCCCCTAACCCTAAAAATCCTTTCATGAGCAAAGTATAATAGTCATGCTTATAAGCCTAATACTTGGGCAGCTGATCAGGGACAACTGTCACGAATTCAAAACCATCCTGGGCCAAATAGTGAGTTTCAGGTCAGCCTAGGTTACATAGTAAGACTGACTTTTTAAAAAAAAAAAATAAATAAATAAAAATAAAAAAGGAAGAAGAGCCAGGCATGTCTTTAATCCCTGCACTTGGGAGGCAAAGGCAGGTGGATCTGAATTTGATGCCAGCCTGGTGTACAAAGCAAGTTCCAAGACAGCCAGAGCTGTTACACAGAGAAACCCTGCTTTAAAAAAAAGAAAGAAAGAAAGAAAAAGAAAAAATTTCTGGGTAAATAAGCAGATATGGAGTTATAACAGTGAACTTAGTAATCAGTGCCCAGTTGACGTAAGGGTTCTGGAATGCTAATAGATTCCACTGCTTTACGATTTTTAACCAAATTAAATTCACTTAACGTGCTTCCTAGACAGACACACAGGTTCAGTAACTTCTTTTCTTTCTTGTTCTTTCAGAATTGAGGGAGGCTCAGTTATACTCAGGTACGTGCTAGAAGACGAACAATGTTGAAGAAAGGGGTAAAAGCCCTATGAATCTAACCACTATTAGAAATGGTTTGAGGCTGCCTGAGTTTGGATTCTTTGGTTGCATATATGCAAAATAACATATAGCCAGAAGCCTCTGGTTGTTTCTATGTGCTTTCTAAAGTGACATCTTTGTCACTTTAAAGAATTGTAGAATACTAGACACATGGTTCCCCAGAAACAGAAAAATCCCACTCTAGTATGCATCTTCCCACCCAGTATCTGGGGCAATGTACTGTTTGTTTACCCCAACAGAAATGATTGAATCAGGTCCCCCCCCCGCCCGGCCCGGCCCCCCCCCCCCCCCCGTGCTGTTGAGTCTGGGGTTCTTAGCTTTTCAGTGGTATGCTCTGGGCAAGAAATCTGATAAGCCCTAGACATCCATCTTTAAGCTATGATTCAGAGACTGGGTCAGTCTGGTTCCAGGGAACCCAAATCTGAGGTGTGTTTACTTCCAGCCTTTAGTTATTACGTCTTCCTTAACTGGGACAAAGGCTGTTATCAATGTTTATTTATTTAAACATTCTAAGTATTTGGAATACAAGTGTATATGTGTACTGCATGCCTGTCTGCTGCTCACAAAGGCCAAAAAATGGGGTTCGATTCCCCTAACCTAGAGTCACAGGTGGTTATGAGCCACCATGTAGGTGCTGGGAACAAAACCCAGGTTTTATGCAAAGACAGCAGTGGCTCTCAACTGCTGAGCCATCTCTCTTACCTTTGATATTTGGTTCTTTTAATATTGACTGAGTATGTCACACGTAAGATGCTTTAGAAAGCAGTACTCTGCCCTTGGAGTCTACAGTCTGGCTGGAAGTAAACCCATGGCACAGGAAAGACAGGTTGGGGCTGGATATGTAGCTCATCGGCAGGGTGAGTAGACTTCGTGTATGGGTAAGGGCCTTGTTAAATCCATAGCACTAAAAAAGTGGGTGAGAGTAGGTAGGTGACTTTTATGGACAAATTGTTGAAAACAAGGGTCACATCACCTGTTACCTATCATGAATTTTTTAATGTTTATTCATTCTTTGAGAATTTTATTCAGTATTTTGATCGTTGTCTTTCCCCTGTTCATCTCCTCCCACATACTTTTTTACATCCCTACCCAAACTACTACATGTTCTTTCTCTTAAAGCTAACAAACAAACGATAACAACAAAGAAAAACAACAACAGCAAAAGCCATGGGATCCAATCTATGTTGGCTCATAACTGAGCATGGAGCCACCCTGGAATGTAGTTGATGCACCCAGTATCACTCTGTTGGAGAAAACTGATTTTCCCTTTCCAAGCAGCTACCTTTTGTGAATAGCTTCTCTTCTAGGGGTGACACTTTGTGCCCACTTTCCCTCTTCCATGCTATGGTTTTAGCTTGTGCAGGACTTTGTACATGCTATATACATTGTATGTGTGTGTTCATACGTGCATCTGCCCTGTTGTGTTGGAAGACAATTTTCTTTAAGTCATCTACCACTTCCAACTCATAAAATCTTTCCACCCCCTCTTCTGCATAGTAGACTCCTAAGCCTTAAGAGGAGGAGTGTTTTACAGACATCCCATTTAAGACTGAGCATTCCAAAGTCTACGCTGACCAGTTGTGGCTCTCTGTGTTAATTACAATTCTAATGCAAAAAGAAACTTCTCGATAAGGGTTAAACAATGCACTTATCTATGCGTATAACATATGTCATTAGTAGTCACTTTATCAGACTGTTTATTTAGCAGAATAACTGTTTCCTAGGACCTCTGACCTATAATAGCTTCAGATTCTTAATCTTACTGACATTGTCAAGTATGGGTTCCATCTTGCGTAGCAGACCAAAAATTCAGTTATAAAGTGGTTGATTACTCTCATAACATTTATACTACTATTGTACTAGTGTACGTGTCTTACAGGCAGGCCATTGTTGCAGTTCACAGGTTCTGAGTGAGACTGATGATAACTCTTCTCCAGTAGCAGGTGTAGCACCTTTAAACTAGCAGGTTGGGTGAAGCTTTCACTTTGAGTGTCAGCTCAGTTCCTTCGTGTTCTGTGATAGAACTTTGTGGTATCTTCAGCAACAGGGACTTACATCAGATTGTTGAGCATAGCCAATAGTGTTGGCAATGGCCTGTGATGTGAAGGGATGGATAGTGTCTGTGAGACACCATTGAGCAACAGCTCAAAAATTGTGTACCCCATTCATGATCCTGGGAGGAGGTTATTTAGCAGTTTTCTCTTGTTTAGTTGGGATATTGTCCCCGGAATCCCATTATATGGTAACTTCATTTAAGTTAAGTGTGTGTGTGTGTGTAAGCTTCTAGAGTAATTAGGTTTCCATGTGACTTTTTCCTAATGACTTTAGCGCTCTTTCCCCCATAAAACCCTTTGTACCCTTCCCTCCCATCACCTATGCCATTTAATCCTCCTAATTTCCCCTTTATCATTTTGTTTTGTTTTCATTGTTTCTTTGGGTGGGGGGCAGAGTTTCTTTCTGTGTGTAGTCCTTACTGTCTTATTTTTTTGTGTTAATTTTATATCGTGCTACATTGCTGAAGTGTTTATGAGCTGTAGAAGTTTCCTGATATACTCTTCAGGGTCTTTTATGCTTAAAACGTTATGTCTTCTTCAAATACGAATATGATGATTTCTTCCTTTCCTATTTGTATCCCCTTGCTCTCCCTCGGTTGTTCTAGTCCTCTAGCTAAGACATCAGGTACTATACTGAATAGGTATGGAGAAAGGAGATGTCTGTCCTGGCAAAGTAAAATTTTACTCCATTGGTACTGGATTCTGGTTAATCACAGCAGTTTCTTCAGCTCCAGCTGACCAGACATCACTCATTCTTAACACAAAAATACCACACGGAAGACCACAGTAGAATCTTTGCTTCTTCCGGCAGCTTCACAAGCCAGGCCTCCATCATTTGCATTTCTTTGAAAGCTCTTGCTTTCCAAGTGCAAACAGAAGAGCCTACTGAGCAGTGAATACCCAGAGGCTTTTCCAGCCTAAAGTTCAAATGCAATCACAGTCCTCTAAAAAGACATGGCCAGACTGTATAGCAATTTCCCACTTCTGTTACTAATTTCTGTCTTTGCTAAGGTTTCTGTTGTTGGAATGAAACAACCATGACCACCTTCTTGCAGAAGAAAGGGTTTGTTTCTTTTGCACTTTCGTCCATCACAGGACTGTCAGGGCAGAAACTGATGTAGAGGCCATGAAGGAAAGCTGCTTACTGACTAGACATGACTTGTTCAGTCTGGCCTACCCCCCACCCCAAGAGCTGAAGCCTGAACCCAGGGCCTTGTGCTTGCTAGGCAAACACTCTACCACTGAGCTAAGTCTGCTTTCTTAAACACCCCATATCCAACTACCCAGGGGTGACATGAATTATCCACAATGTTAGATTTAAAGTTGAAGAGTAATGGAGTAATCAATTTAAGGCAAACCAGGCAGCCAGGTGAGGTGGTGCACACCTTTAATCACAGCACTTGGGAGACAGAGGCAGGTGAACCTCTGAGTTCAAGGCCAGTCTGGTCTCCAGGATGCCAGTACAGTACTATGTAGAGAGACCTTGTCTATTCTAGGCAGAGGTCAGGTGTGGTAGTGTGTATGCTTGTAACTCCAGCATACACACTTGGGAAGCTGAAGCAGGGGGAATCAGGATCTTAATACCATGTTTTGCCACATGGTTTGAGGCTAAGGTATCTCATCTACATAGATTGTCTCAAAAACAGGAAGGGGAAAACGTGGATAGGGAGTAGATATGCAAGACAGAATCTCAAATGAAAGAATGGTTTGAAAGATGGCAAGTTAGGCAGATTCTTAGTTCTTTAACGAAAATTCTGAACTCCAAATGTCTGTAAACCAAAATTTTGTTGGCTGTTTTTCAGTAAATTAATTAAAATAGCAACTCCTGGCGCTGGAGACATTACTCAGGTTAAAAACACTCACTGACAGCTCTTCCAGAGGTCCTGAGTTCAATTCTCAGCAACCACATGGTGGCTCACAGCCATCTTTGATGAGATCTGGTGCCCAATAAATGATTTTTAAAAATCTAGCAACTTTTGAATTTTTGTGACCAGGAGCCTCTATCTGTTCTAATGTATGTATGTATATTTCCTGTCACGTCTATTGATGCCAGAATTTTCAAATTCAGGACTTAGACATATGTCCAGAAGTCTCAGATGCAATCAGTAAGGCTAAGCCTTAGATGTGAGAGAAGAATGGGAGTAAAGTTGTGTTAGTTTCATTGATATCCACACAGAGGGTAATCAGCTAATCTAATGATAAATTTTTAGGCTTTGGTACTGGGTCTTGCTGTATAGCACTGGCTATGTGACCTAGGCTGCTCTGAAACTCTTGAAGATACTCCTGCCTCTGTCTCCTTAGTGTGCCACCATGCCTGGATCCAACAGTAATTTTTGAAATATGCAGTTTACAAGGTGTTTGATCATAAAATGAGTACAACCTCTAGTGGGCATCTCTGCTGTGTGCCAGGGAAGTAGGTGAAATGCCAGGTGGGCTCGAGTGGGCTCTTCTGACCTTCAGCTAACCACCCCTCTTTCTTTCTACAGTGGATGTGACCCTGGACCCAGACACAGCCTACCCCAGTCTGATCCTTTCTGATAATCTTCGTCAAGTACGGTACAGTTACCTCCAGCAGGACCTACCAGACAACCCTGAGCGGTTCAATCTATTTCCCTGTGTCTTGGGCTCTCCATGTTTCATCGCTGGGAGACATTACTGGGAGGTAGAGGTGGGAGATAAAGCCAAGTGGACCATAGGTGTCTGTGAAGACTCGGTGTGCAGAAAAGGTGGGGTGACCTCAGCGCCCCAGAATGGATTCTGGGCAGTGTCATTGTGGTATGGGAAAGAATACTGGGCTCTTACCTCCCCGATGACTGCCCTCCCCCTTCGGACCCCTCTTCAGCGGGTAGGGATTTTCTTGGACTATGATGCTGGTGAGGTCTCCTTCTACAATGTGACAGAGAGATGTCATACCTTTACTTTCTCTCATGCTACCTTCTGCGGGCCAGTCCGGCCCTACTTCAGCCTCAGTTACTCGGGAGGGAAGAGTGCAGCTCCTTTGATCATCTGCCCTATGAGTGGGATTGATGGGTTTTCTGGTCATGTGGGGAATCACGGTCATTCCATGGAGACCTCCCCTTGAGGAAGTGAACTGAAGCACAGTGCTGATGGCTGTAATCCTACCCCCGGCACACAGGATCTTGTCGTCTTGTCAATTCCTGTCCATCAAAGCCGGGTGTCCTTACCATTTCCCATGCCCTTACAGAGAGAGACAATGTGTTCATGGTCTCTACTGTACTTTCCCTTCCCTTGCAGATTGTGAGATGTAATGAGAAGTATTGCTATTTCCCAGAAATAAAAAACAGATTCCTCCTCCTGTGTTTTACACTTTTGTTGGTTTTTACACATGACTGAAATAGATAAAAAATATGGATAGGATTTAGAGAACCGCTTGCAAGGTTCCTATCCTGGCTTTTCTCAGTGATGGACTATGATGTAGAAATGTAAGCCAAATAAACCCGTTTCTCCCCAAGGTGCTTTTTGTCAGCGTCTGTCACAGCAGCAGAGAAGCTGAAAAAAAATGTTATTAGGCTTGTGAGATTGCTGTGATAGACCTGGCCTTGTTTTGGGAAGGACTGTGGAAGTGTTTGGAACTTTGGTTTGGAAAAGCCATTGAATATTAAAAGTATAATGGGCTGTGGGGGCTTGGAAAATAAGAGTGTTGAGAGAAACGCAGATGATAGAGATCTGACTTGTGAAGTTGCAGAGAAGCAAAGACTATTGGGGTCATTTGTGTGATACGTTTGAATTAAGAATGTGTGATTTTACAGTCTGGTCTACAAAGCAAGTTCCAGGACACCCAGCTAGTGCTATTACCCAGAGAAACCCTGTCTTAAAAAAAAAGACAGAATGTGTGATTTCTGGACAGCTGGGCTGAAGAATTGGCTGTGAGCAAGAGGCCAGCACCACTGACGTGAAACCTTTGCTTTATCGATACTGGTCAACTGTGGTGAAGATCAGCTGATTAACAACAGGCTGGCCCTATTGAGGCGAAATCTTCTGGGATGTATTTCCTCCAGGTCTTCACAGAGAGACTGTGGTCCAGAGGAGGCCAATCCTGCATTTCAAGCTAGTAGCAAAACTTGGTAATGTGTAAGCATCCTCCATGTGGTACATGGTTTGACTGCATGAACAAGATTAAAGGGGTCATGGAGAGAAGCTGAGATTTGACATCCTGTAGTAGCGTCATAGTCGCTGAAGAGAGGTGTGACCAGTTGCAGCAGAGAGCCCGGCATATTGGCGATGACAGGACTATAGGATGGCCAGCAGGTCCAGCAGCAGATGTGAGCCTGTCAGACAAGATTGTGCTACATATGGTAGAGCTGGAGAGGCAAAGCTGTGTAAGCCCTTTGGAGCCCAGAAGATCATGAGTCCCAAATGTTGGATGGTTATTTAACTATTCAAATTGGGTTTTATTTTGATTTGTTTGTGACTATACCCTGGTTCTGCTCTCTTGAAGTGTATGTAACTTGTGTTTTGATTTTTACAGGAATCCACTTAATGAGATTTTGGACAATTTAAAGAAACTTTGGAGTTTAAAAGTGCTTGAATTTTTTAATGCCTATAGAACTTAAACATATTTTTATTGCTGTTTGTCTGGGTGTATGAGTGTGTGTATGTGCGCATGAGTGCAGGTGCCAGAAGAAGCCAGCTAAGGTCATCTGGGAAGAAGGAGCCTCAATTGAGAACACGCCCCAGCAGACGGACCTGTAGAAAAGCCTGGTGGGGGCGTTTTCTTGATCAATGATTGATATGGGGAAGGACCAGCTGGCTGAGCAGTTCCGCGCCCAGTCAGGTGGTCCTGGGCTCTTTAAGAAAGCAATCCGCTAAGCAGTGGTCCTCTGGTTCTCCTTCAGTTCCTACCTCCAGGTTCCCGCCCTGAGCTCCTGCCTTGACATCACTCAGTGATGGACTGTAATGTGGAAGTGTAAGCCAAATAAACCCTTTTCTGCCCAAGATGCTTTTGGCCAATGTTTTATTATAGCAATAGAGAATAAGACAATTTTTGGACCGTGTCTCCCTTCTCAGAACCCAGGATGGAACCAGACTGTTAGAATGACCCCCTTTCTCCTTACTTTATTTTCATGAAACAGTTACTCTATCCTGATTTCCAATTATTTTACTAACCCCATTATTCCAGTTTATGTTTTGATTATAATTACTTTACACTAATGGTGATAAATGACCCCACCTATGTAGTAACATAATGTTTTAACTAGTGTCTCTCTGCCTCAGGGATTTTCCAATGTCTCTGTTTGCTCCATTCCTGCTATTGAAAGGTTTGTCTTGGTGCTAGGCATGTGCAGATCACCTAAGAGTATCCCTGGCGTGTTTGTGAGCTGGTGACTACCATACTCCATTTCTAGAAGGCAGAGGCAGAACTCAGGGACTTCACTGCGTCCCCTGGAGTGGGGGTACGATGTGTTTCCGGGGGGGGGCATTAGAGGCAACTGCATCCAGTCTTTGGAGCCTGAGGCTAAGGCCACTTTGTACAATCCCTGCCATGGTTCTTAGTGCTGCTCCCTTTGGGTACATGTGTTTACCACTATAACTGGAGCTTGGAGTTGGGAGAATGAAGCCTAAAAATAAGATAGACTGAGTACCATGCAGTGCCAGCTTCATTCAGAGCATCAGACAGTTTATACTCTGAGGGTTAAGAAGACTCACCTGAGTAAAGTGTACATCACAAGGACAAACCACATGTGGCAAAAATATTTTCTGCAGCAACATATAAAATATCCAGTTGTATTGAATACTCTAAACTCTTATACACTACACCTGGGAAGGTTATGAAAACACATTCTAAGAACAGTTCTGTTTTTGAAGAAACTGAGGTCATGAGACTTCTTGGAATTTTCTCACAAGCACTCAGAATTCCCCTTGCACAGCTCCTTTGCTGACACTACTGTTTAAAAATGAAGTGAATATGTATGTTTACATTGCTGGTTGTTGTGGGTATTTGGGGGAAACCCATTTTGCAATATGGGTTCGTAATCCCCTCCTACATAGTAGCTTCCTTCCAAATAGTTTATAGAGCTGGTTTCCCAGTGCCCCGTCTCTGTTTCTAATGATGAGAAGATAATGTGTATATCCATGGCCTGTAGCCCTTGTGTTGTCTGATCCTTGGGAGAATGTTTTCAGGCCTGTGTGTGTTCATCTGGTTATTACTGTTGTGGGGTTTTGTTTTTAAGACAGAATCTCTTTGAACCCACACTGGGCTCACTTAGTATGCCCTTCCTGCCTTGAACCTTTGGGTGCTAGGTTATAGGGCAGAAGCCATATGCCCACCTTTTTCTTGTTTTTGGTGGTTTTTTATTGGCTAAGAAATAATGCAGCCCTCAGTGAAATAGATTGGCAGTCTCAAAACATTCTTCCCAGTGCTAAATAACCAGTCCAAGCTTGTGGGTGATGTCACCATGTGCTGCAGAAGATGAGACTGAGAAAAAAGTCTCAGGAATTTGTATCTTAGCTGCTTCTACATATGGTCCCAGAATACTAGATTGTTAGGCTGTATACACAATATACACACTTATTCCTGATCTAACATTGGACTTCTGTGGCCGAAGACCATTAGATGTGTCCTGATGAATGAATAATGCTCCAATTCTATATTCATTTCTTGGGGGGCGGGGGGGGCTTTAAGGAAATAGTACAACCAACCAGCGACCCAGGTGCTTCCACAAGGCAGAATTAGCTTCTACCGATACATAAATGCTTAGAATAATATGCATGTATTTGACAACACTGCTTGACTTTTCTGCACAGTAGCTTAGTGCTCTTCACAAGTTAATGATGTGTATACAATTGCCCTTGTGTTGCAAATAAACAAGCAGAAAGGATCAATGATTTATCTAAGGTGTGCAACTAGGAAGCAGCAGGGCCAGGATCTAAAAGTGAGATTTGATGTGGCCACCACATTCATCAACTTCTGCCACGTAGTGTGTGTGTGTGTGTATATATATATACTGCTCTCTACATGTGAAGTATTGAGCATAATGGAAACCTTGAAGTGCTGATTTGCTGGATTGGAATACCTGCCTTAGCACTGTTCGCTATAGAAGATCTGCAGTTGGAAAATGGGTGGAATCTAAGGCAAAATTACACGCCCTTTCACTTAGTCTTTGGGGAGAAAGAAAACCCCAGAAAGAGGACATTTCATACCTATCCGAGGAGGTGTGCCACCACTCCCAGTAATGGGGCAATCTCCAGGCAGACAAGATCTCACACAGGGTTTCCTACTGCTACAGTAGTTACAGCTTCTCACTATACTTTTACTAGAAGCAAAATTGTAGCAGCAAAACAGCCTTTTACTTACTAAAGTTCCCAAGGTGAGTAAAAACATGTGTAGAGGTGAACTTGGGCCAGCATGATGGTTCAGAGAAAAGACACTGGCTGAGCAAGCCTAGCAACTTGAATGTGATCCCTGAAACTCAAAGTTCCACAGAGTTGTCTCTGACCTCTATACATCCACCATTGTCATGCATGTCCACCTACATGCTCATGCAGACGCAATGATACTGAATTCAACATTTGTTTAGGTAGGGCTAGCAAGATGACTCGGTAGTAACTTTCTGCTGCCAAGCTCGGCAAACTGGGTTTGTTGAAGGAAAGAACTGAAGTTGTCCTCTGACCTCTATATGTACTATGGGTGGGTGGGTGGGTGAGAGGGGGGGAGGAGAGATAGAGTGTGTGCATATTTGCACAAATATTTTTATGAAAAGGGATTTTTGAATGTTAAAGGTAGAATTTAATGCTGAGTGAAAATATCAGTCTTAAGTTTATGAACAAAAAGATTGTCATTACTTAAATGTGGGAAGATGCGCAAGAGGAGGCAGCAAGGGTGATGTTATTGGTCGCTTTTTTTTTCTTTTTGTGGTGGTGAGTTCATGAGTATTTACGATTTTAACATTTAGAAAAATCCTGCTATTTTGAATGGGATTAAATGGTCCTCAAACTGGGCTGGAGAGATGGTGCAACAGTTAAGAGTACTTGTTCTTGCAGAGGACCCTGTTTTGCTTCTCCATACTCCAGTCCTGTTGGATCTGATGCCTTTCTAACCTTCACAGGTACCAGGCACAGAAGTAGTGCACATATATACTTGCCGGCAAAATCCTCAAACACTTAATTTTTTTTAAATCTAAGTGAACCTGAAGCTTATTGTGAATGTATTCTTCAGAATGGTAAGTAGTCTCTTCGTTCACTGGTTCACTGAATCGGAATATGAGCTCTAATGGTCAGCCCATTTCTTTAGACACCTGGTCCTTGGAGCATCTAGTTAATTATATATTAGCGTTTAGAAACCTTTCATTCTTTTATTGCCACAAG